AGTTTGATAGCGTCTACACTCGGAATAAATCTTAAGCATAACACAGTGTCAGTGTAAAATATGTATAGTTTGACTTAATAAATAAGCACGTGATACTATACAGTGAAGTCTGAGAATATTACAAAACCAATTCATCTAATATTTATGTGGCCTTAAATAGTCTGAATACTTAATATTTGGATTTGTTTTCTCCTGGTTTACACAGGAAAGGAATGAAAGGTTGTTCTACAAGCTTCTCATTGACCATGTTGAGGAGCTGCTTCCAGTTGTTTACACTCCAACTGTGGGCGAGGCTTGCCAGAAATACGGGAGCATCTTCAGACAGCCACAGGGTCTCTTTATCAGTTTGAAGGAAAAGTATGTTTTGTGTTTTGCATTTGACAGCAGTTTTACCTGGAGTTCTTTTTCTCACATTTTAAGACTTGGCTGTTTAACATTTGTCAGAGGAAAAATTCTTGAGGTGCTGAAAAATTGGCCCCAGCAGAAGATTCAAGTTATTGTTGTCACAGATGGTGAACGCATTTTGGGGCTTGGAGACCTGGGTTGCCAGGCACGTCATCACCTTTTGGTTTCCATGTCTTTTACTTCTTTGATGTTATCACGGCAGGAAGAGGGTTTTCAAGGAAGAATTCTTCGCATTTGGTCATACCTTAGTAGGCATGCAGATATGGGCTTCTATTAATTAGCATATGATCTTTTTCTTATCCATCTTTGCTTGTTACCAGGGAATGGGCATACCTGTAGGGAAGCTCTCTCTGTACACAGCTCTTGGTGGTATTCGTCCTTCAGCTGTAAGTATATGCAAGACCTTTACTTTGTTCATTTGTTTCAATTGGCTGGTAAAGAAACTTTAGCAGCACTGCTTTCCTTGAATAGCTATCATGCTGCAAATAAAGGTTTTAACTATGGTCGTTAAACACCTTTTCTTTGCTGTTGGTGTGTTATTTTATGGGCCCTTTTTTTAATCATACCTAAGAGCATTAGTTAACCACTGGAAATTGTTCTATGCTTAGAGATTTAATCTTGTTTTTCATTTGGACTTGTGGCTTAATAGAAGACATATGCTCCAACCTCCAATTGGTACAACGTCCAAGGGCAAAAATATATTCGTGTACCACCAATAATGGCAAACTTTGTTTATTGCTGTATTAAAATATCATGATAGATTTTCCTGTGGAATGGTTTCATGACATGACCTGCTTCACTTTTTGCTATGCACAATAGTGGCAAAATATAGTTAACGGTTTTTACTGTTTTTACAGTGTTTACCTGTAACAATTGATGTGGGTACAAACAATGAGAAGTTACTGAATGATGAATTTTACATTGGGCTCAGGCAAAGACGAGCAACAGGGAAGGTTAGAAATTTGACCTTCAAACTGCTTGACATGAGATATATTACCTAGTCATTCATCTCTTAATTAAGTTAGATTGTTTTGCCGTCATCAGGAATATGCGGAGCTGATCGATGAATTTATGTCTGCTGTCAAGCAGACCTATGGGGAGAAAGTCCTCATTCAGGTTATGTACATTTCTGAGATTCCATTATATGGAGCTATTAAGTCAATGTGCTCAAATTGTCACTGTCTGTCTGCATTTTGCAGTTTGAAGATTTTGCAAATCACAATGCTTTCGATCTTCTTGCAAAATATGGCCCTACACACCTTGTTTTCAATGATGATATTCAGGTACAACAAGTCATTTACTGTTCCACTAAATGTTGGGCCTTTAGCCACCATGGTCTTGGTTCTCTCCCAAGAATTGATATAAACATTTCACACATTTTTCAGGGGACAGCATCTGTGGTCCTTGCTGGGCTTATTGCAGCACTGAAGTTAGTTGGAGGGACCTTAGCTGAGCATACTTTCCTATTTCTTGGAGCAGGGGAGGTAGTTCTTGTTTCCAGTCTCCAAAAAAAAAAAAAAAAAGAAAAAAGAAAAAATGCATGGTGTCTATACCATCAATTGAATGTTTCAATCTTCTGGTCTGCCAGTGGTTTGAGACTGCATGTATAACTTATGCAACTTTGTCCGTTTTCCGGCCAAATTTCCTACAAGTTCTTGTTTTCTGCTTTTAGTCTTAAGGTACAACATTTGCTCCTATCCTTGTGGTAATGCAGGCTGGCACTGGTATTGCTGAGCTCATTGCTCTTGAGATGTCAAAGCAGGTGAAAACTAATTGAATGTGTTGCCTTCTATGTGCTGTATGTGCTTAGTTTCTTTTGAAGAAGCTCCTTGAGAAGTACATAGCAAGAGGTGAAAATTCAACCTTCTTTTGCAGACTGGAGCTCCAGTAGACGAAACTCGTAAGAAAATTTGGATGGTGGACTCAAAGGTGTTTAACCTTCACCTAACCCATCTTCCTACCAGAAAAAAAAGGAAAAGAAAGAAGAAATAGAACTCTGTCATAATACTCAAATTATTTTCACTGCAGGGTTTAATTACGCGGTCTCGCATGGAAGGACTTCAGCATTTTAAGAGACCCTGGGCTCATGAGCATGAACCTGTTACAAACCTGGTGGATGCTGTCAAGGTCTGAGAAGTCCTCTGTCGAGTGCATGTTTTTAAGCTTGTGTGTTTTTGTCATCTTTATCTTTCTTTCTTCTTTTGCCAGGCAATCAAGCCAACCGTGTTGATTGGATCATCAGGAGCTGGAAGAACATTTACCAAAGAAGTTGTTGAAGCTATGGCAACCTTCAATGAGGTGATGCATCCTCCCTCCCTTCCTTGCTGGGATTTTGTTCAGTTTATGTTTGCATAAAACATTTTATATAGATCAAAACACTGACATTGTTCTTAATGCAGAAACCCATTGTACTTGCCCTCTCCAACCCAACTTCACAGTCAGAGTGTACTGCTGAAGAAGCCTACATGTGGAGTGAGGTGATGTTATCATACATCTTTGTTTCATGTAGTCTTCTGCCATGCTGACTTTTTGATGAATCTTCATCTCTATCACTGCATGACACTGTTACATCTCTTCTTTGTTCTATGTCTACTTCAGGGTCGTGCCATTTTTGCTAGTGGTAGCCCATTTGATCCAGTTGAATATGATGGGAAGGTCTATGCATCTGGCCAGGTGTTAATCCTCATAATAATCTATCTGACACAATCTTATCCTCAGGATATGTGCCTTTTTGGACAAACTATAATACATACATATCTTTTAGGCAAATAATGCGTACATCTTCCCTGGTCTTGGTCTGGGTCTGATAATTTCTGGTGCCATCCGTGTCCATGATGATATGCTCCTGGCAGCCTGTAAGTTGTTGCATATGTAATTATTAGTCATAATTTTAACCACCATGCCATTTGTTTGTAAGTATTCAATTTTAATGCGGGTGTCTCTCTCCCAGCTTGGGGTCAGCCAAAAGAGAGAACCTTAAATTAAATCTGAGAGCAACATGAGTTTTAATGGGATGGAAATGCTGCACTTTTGCGTACTTGTCTTTCCACAGTGTCTAAAGTTCATTTTGATACCAATTCTTTAAATTTTTTCAGATGCTTTGTGTGTTTTTTTATTACACATTTCGAGATTTTGATACCAATTCTCTCACTCTCAAGGACCAAAGTCGGACGATAGCTAAAGTTCATGCATGAAAACCATATTGAAATGCAGATGTTATAGTCATAGGATCATCCAGCATCCCTGTTAGTTTGAACATTACTTGTTTTAAAAAAAAAATTATTTGTTACTCAAAATCTCTGGTATTTCTGCCTTCTTGAAACAGCTGAAGCTCTGGCTGCACAGGTCACTGAAGAAAATCTTGAGAGCGGTCTCATTTATCCCCCATTCTCTAATATTAGAAAAATTTCTGCCAAAATTGCTGCTGATGTAGCTGCAAAAGCATATGAGCTAGGTAAGATTTCCTGCCATGGGACCATATGTTTTAGCTTGAGTGCATTTTCTGCGATCTATAGCTTGACTCTTGGTTGCTGTACAGGTTTGGCTACTCGTCTGCCTCAGCCAGAAAATTTAGTTGCATATGCTGAGAGCTGTATGTATAGTCCCGCTTATAGATGCTATCGCTGAACCAGTGAAATGTTCTATAATCCATGATTTGAGTAGATCACTAAATTTTTGTTGTCATTCTTCACCTAACATTTTACCACTTTTTATGTTTTTGTTTTCCTATTTCAATTGTTTATTGTTTACTTCTTCCTGCCAGTCACAGCAGGCAGGTAGATGCAAGTAGGGTGATTAGAAGGGAAGCGTTCTGTAATGTTGTATCACGGTATAAATGTAGTTTGCTAAATGTTGTGCGTTACAAGAAATGAAATCAGAAGTTCTGCTTAAAACCATGCCCAAGACCAGATTGTTGAATTACTATTTTGTTTTTTCCTCTTTTGAACCTTAATATGTTACATTTTGCCCGGGGGATGGTGAAAGTGATTGTGATTTCAGCCTCAGCTAGAAGCGTCTGGACATTGCAGGGGAAGGAAGTGTTTGTATTCCCTTTGGACTGCGAAAGGAATGTAATTGGAGTAGAAGAAGCCGACTAAAATTGAAAGAATAATGTGCATAAGAGGAAATTAGAATACGAGGTAATCTTCAATTCTGGGGCCCGTACAGTAAAACTGTGATTTGGCCTTTTATTGTCCTACTGTTGAGCCTTGGTTTTGGCTGCTGCCTGACCAAGTGAACGAACGCCTACAAATTCCCGCTGCGGGAAACCTCACTAATATTCCGGTTTAAGTTTTAAAAGGCGTAAATTTGCTAACTTTTGAACTGTTAAAAGCAGCGCCTGCGTCTCCTTCGTTTGCAGGCCCCGAACAAGTAGGGCGAGTCATCGAGACTTACGAAACTCCCCCCTTTGCACCATTTTAATTGTGGGTTCCCCTTGAAGATGGTGCCTCATGCATCAAGATACATGGAACCTCCTCGCACTATGGTGCATCTCCCTACAATAAGAACCTTTCAAGAACCCTAAACATTGATAAACAAAATTGCACTCAAGGCGTAAAAAAAGGCAGTCCCACCCCCCCCCCTCTCAAGAACAGTGAAATGCAGGACAAATTATTTCAGGCAATTTGCCAAATCCTCCACGTACTAAACATCCTGGTATTTACAGTTAAAAAGAATCAGAATTTTCACTAGCTTAACCTATAACCTAAACCTGGAGGGGCCCTGCACTATATTACATTGAAAAAATTAGATAAATAAGGAATACAACAAAAGCTATGAGGACAGAAATGAAGGAAAATAGGCCTTGCTTCCTTCCAGATGCTTGAGTAAGGCATCTGCTAAGATGTTAATCAAGTAGCTCCCTTTATCTCATACTGCTTGAAATGAACTATTTTCATCCTTGGTTATGCCCGATCCTTTGATTGGTGTGCTTGCATGAAATGCCGATTGCCTTGATGGCTCCCCTGTCAATTTGAGAGAGAGTCGGGAAGATTCTACAAGGCCAGAACTAGTACCACCTAAGCTAAGCTGAGACATGCCCACAAGTTCATCCACATTGACAGGTTCCTTTGGAATAACTGGAATTGGCTTGAGGATCTGATGATGAGATGCCTCTGCTCCTCTACCTTCCTCTTGAGGGGCTATATTGGACGGCCATAATGGGTATGAAATAGGTATAAATGCTGGAAAAAATGATGGGAACAATGAAGGAATTTCGGGTGGAGATTTAACATTTTCTTCGGTTTCTTCAACTACTTCACTGAGGGTAGCTTCCATGGGCTCATACTCTTGTTTTAGGGAAAGATCTAAAGAAGGCAAAGACTTTTCATTATCATCTCCGATTGCTAGAGGATGCGGACTTGCAAGTTGTTCCTTGCTGCTATCAACAACTTGTGGTGGGAGCACAAATTGTTCTTCCGGCGGAGCTAGTGGATCTGTAGACTAATAAACCACAAAATAATTGGCTACACAATGAAAAAGACACATTCAAGCAAGAATCATATTATGCATGTTACAGATCAGTTTGGTCATTTAAAAATAAAAAGATGTCTTTTGGCCTTCAAAAAAGGATGATGCCAATTGAAACGAGTCAGTGGGTATGTGCAGAATGGATGGCTCAATATTCTGATTGCATCATCAAGAAAAGTCAGGAAGCTTCTTGAAATAAGACATATCAACCCCTTATAAGGCATGGATTAACGGATGAGAGGGGACCTAGACCCAACACAAGTGTCATATTTTGCTCACAGGAGCTGCATCTCTGCATTTGCTCGTCCAGAAATCCATATAGCATTTTCCACTCAATAATGATGCAACTAAGAGAATCGTTGATTTTAAGCAAAATTAAGACCTACCATATCAGGAACCATGTCAAAGAGACTGGATCTTCTCTTTCTCCGATTAGCATTGCTCTGCCGGATAAAATACTTCTGTGCATGGCTTGCCACCTGTGTTGGAGTCCTTGATGTCACAAAATTGCGGGAGATACCGCGCCAATCACCTTTGCCCAACTTCTGAAGACCGAGAAGGAAGAGCCTGTGCTCTTCTTCAGTCCATGGAACACCTGCAAAGGGAAAGTGAGTAATAGTTTTCAAAGCTCCTAACAGTGAATACGATAGCATTGTCCTTGCAAGCAGAGGACAGGTAGTAAGCAGAGGACAGGTAATATAGCCTTGTATATAAGAAAAGCCACATATCCCAGTGACCATCTTAGTGGTAGTATCACATCAAGCTCTCATTTAAAAGAGAATAAATATATGCAGAGGCTACACCAGAGAACACAAACCCAAGTCACATTATGGTCACAGTAAGCTTCGGGATGTACAAGCTAACAGGGCAACAATAGCATTAAAGAACTGAGACTCATAAAGTTTAAATTTTTATACTAAATTAGCTTGACCTTGTTTAATTTAGCTATTTACTACTTCTGGGGAAGGAAAAAGAAAACAATTATGAACCCCTCCCAGCACTTTCAAGAGATGTAAGTCGAAAGGCTAAATTTTGGCACAGTAAACTAGCTTGCTTGTTAGAAACAGGGGTAAGTGCCACTAGCTGGAAGGAGGAATCTGCAGGCTCATAAGAAATCTCAGAAGCCAATAAAGATCAAGTGAATATTCTTAGCAATTAGCAAGGGTAGACATGGGGAAAAAACACAACTAGACCAAGTCAAAGTTCCCGATCAAGCTATAGCCACCCATCCAGAAGGAATGTAATGAGAAAATAAGGCCACCAGCGCCACATTATATCAATTTCTCCACTCCAAAAAAGAAAAGAGAGAGAGACGAAAGCTAGGAGTACTAATTTACAGAAAACTCATCGAAGATAAGATAATTAGCACCGTGCACAAAATACGTAAAACTAAAATCTCACTTCATGAATCAGCAAGAGCCTAAATCCACATAAAAATCAATCATAATCAAATTAAATGACTAAAAGATTAAAACCTTTCTTTCTTTCAGCTCTACGATTAGCAGAGCAAGATGCATCATTGGGATCATCGGAGAGATACCCATCCGGCAAATGAACCGGGTCATGAAAGGGGTCGGAGGAAGGCGAGCTGCGGTTGGGCGACGCGGCGGCGGACGAGGAAGAATGGTAATGGGATAGATTTCCCATGCTGGCACTCTTCTTCATGATGGACCCATCTGTTAATCTGACTCCAAAAAGCTTCACCCCACCACCAGCACAGCCGCCGCTTCCACCGCCGCCACCTCTCGTGGGACACGTCCGGGAGTTATGGCCATTGTTGCTGCAATGAGAACACCGCCGAGTCATCTTGCTGACTCGGCCTTCTCAACTCAATTGGAAAAAAAAAATCCAATCTTTTCTTTTTTGAGATAACTATTATCTAAAAGAGAATTAGAAGAAGATAAATAGATAAATATACGGAGTTACAGGATGAGAGAGGGAAGGAGAGATGAAATTTGTGGAGGTGATGAAAAGGAAGAGTTGTGGGGTTGCATGTGTTAGTTCTTAATTGAGAAATTCTAGGAAGCTGAAATTAGTGAGAGCACAATCTAAGATCAAGATTAGTTTCCTATGCTTAGTTTAGGCAAATCAAAGGGACCGGATAAGGTTTTCGGTTTAAGCTTTTCAGTCAGAGAGGAGATGATTACTTGACCGTAGTAGGAATAGGATCACGCGGTCCAATTTTCTCCTTGAGTGAAATGACCATTTTAGTCGTGAACCGGATAGCGTCCTGCTCACGTGGCGTAAATTTGGAGTTTAGGCAAGTCTCCCTTGCTTCCTTGCGGCATTTTCCTCCTTTTGTCTTTGACACCGTACACCACTACCGGGCGGTGCCGCGGCCGGTGGGCAAGTTTTTCTTCCTTCCGAGTTATTAGCGTGGATCATGATGCAAAAAAACAAAAAAAAAAAGAAATGTGGATCATGCTGCGGATGCTGATGGTGGTCATCTTTAGATTTGCTTTTGGTGAGATTGAGGTTTCAGACTTTCAGCCAGGATGGATGGACAGAGAATAATTGGAGGACTGGCAGCTGCATCTCCAATCTCCATCTTGCTTTACGGCTTCTTTTCCGGGGTTCCTGATCTAATCTAATCTAATCTCATCTAATCCAATCTAGTAGCCGTACAGTCGTAGAGGGATTGACATAATGACCATTAAACAATTGCATGTCACATCTTGTCTTGTCCTTTGATTTGTGCCCTCGGAAAGAAAGAATTCTTTTTTTTTTTTTTCTGCCAACCGATTTAATCAAATGGGCTAGCTACAAGACAATACATGTGGATCGTCAGCTTCCGTTGGAAATGATTCATAAAAAGAAGAGGCCGCAAGCAGGAATTCTGGCTCCAATTTCTTGACATGATTGACGAAAATTAAAAGGTTACCATGCGGGCTGCATTATTATTAGCAGACAAAATTGCATTCGCAATTTGTATACATCCTGAACCTGGTTTCAAGTTTTTGAGGTTCCTTGTTAACAATAATTATGTTGAACCAAAGAAATCTTTGACATAGATAGATCATATACCAATTGCAAACGTTAAAACACCACCGCAATCTCCTTTTTTTTTTTTTTTGGATGCAGGAAAAACGCCTCTGTAATCTTGAAGGTGTGTAGTGCACCATCTACCATGGCGTTCATCTTTTATTGTCGGTTAGTTTTCCTCTGCAAGATGAGCAGGTTCAACTTGAAGGACCGTCAGGAATATAAACCTGATTACCACTTTATAGTTCACGCCCAGTTCTCAAAAGCCCGTCGCATAAAACTTTCATAGCCCTGATAGGGCCCTGGAGCTCGTGTGAAGAGTAGGTAGTGGGCTATGATTAAGAAGAAACTACCTGCTGGTATTAAGAAAGGCAGATGAGAATTCCTTTTGGTTTTTGAGTAGTTTCGACTCCGATCACCCTCCAGCCCCATCGAAACCGTCCATTGCTAACGAGAATCCATGTCTACAACATTCAATTCCATTATTCTCTCCTTCTACTGTTGTTATGCGTTTATACAAGTGCATAAATTCACATGACTCCACGGGTATAGTTGGAAAACTTGGTCTGGTTCGATGGTCGAATTGGTTAACTCAATGAATCGGTCGTAAGATTGGATTGGATTGCTAATTAAACCAATTAAGCAACAAACTCATTGATCCGTAACCGTCCATTGCTAACGAGAATCCATGTCTACAACATTCAATTCCATTATTCTCTCCTTCTACTGTTGTTATGCGTTTATACAAGTGCATAAATTCACATGACTCCACGGGTATAGTTAGAAAACTTGGTCTAGTTCGATGGTCGAATTGGTTAACTCAATGAATCGGTCGTAAGATTGGATTGGATTGCTAATTAAACCAATTAAGCAACAAACTCATTGATCCGTTAATGACTCGACGGTTCAATCAACAAATCGAAAAAAAAAGAAGTTGTCTGTTAAATGGCCAGTTGAACCACTAACTTAAAAGCCTTTGTTTGGAAAGCAATTGTTACATTTTCCGTGAACATATTTTCCAATCATCTTTTTACTTCACATATATCAGATCGCTACAATAATTTTTGTACAAAAAATCCAGAAAGATGCAATCCAAACAAAAGCTATTTTTATAATTTAAACTATATTATTATAGTATATAATATAACTATTGTGCAATCCGCGATTGAACTGCTTAATCAGTAGTTGAACCAATGACTCGATGATCCGGTCATCTCTCCAAGTTAATTTCCGGAGCAGATTTAATAACTATTTACTATTTAGCTCGACGCTCGGGATGAAGACTGGCCACTATTTACTATATAGCCACATTCAGCTTGGGTTCAGCATTACTGTAACACGAAATATCAGGAAAACCCACAATTTCTTAAAAGTAATATCTCAAAGAAAAAGGGGAAAAATCACTTAACCCACGTACGAGGCACTAGTGCATCTTAACGCTTACATGTGTTGAAAATACCTGTTGAATAGTCTAACGAGTCAGGGACTTTTTCGAAGATGATCAGAATAGATGCCACGTTTAAGTGGTTTTCTTCAAAAAAATTCAGACGGGTGTGTTATGCATTCGTTTGGTTCGATGGTGATTCAGTTCCTTCCGAATTATTCCTGAGCCTCCTTAGATCCGCCCCCTCCCCTTTAGTGTAGAATAGATTAGATTATACAACAGTTATCATCTCTGAAAAAAAAAAAGATGCTGCTGCCATGCGAGAGAATATCTGAGCGAGTTAAAAAGGCGTCTGGAAAGGAAGAGCGACCTTAAAAGCCAACATTTGTTTGGTTGCCTTGGCGATCACAATTATATGGATTTATTCTCGTCTCGTGAGCGCATTATGGATGGGAGGACTGCGGAGGAGGAGGAAAGGGATATTTTTGAACCCAAGTCCGGCAATGCTATCAATTCACAAAAGGCATTTTGTCCTCCGAATTTTGCCTTTTAACACAAGTGCGTTGTTTCAATTTGAGCATGCTCCTGCAAGGCTGCTACGGTGCGACCATGCATCTCCATATCATTGACTCTATTTGATCGAAATTATGTACCAACTTGGAAGGATCAAATCCTATCGCTTGTAAAAATGGAGGATTTTTTTTTTCCTTTTTGGGTTCATTTCTTTGAGTGCTTCTGATGATTAGGTTAAGGCCTATATGCGGGATTTCTTAAGCAGGCCGAATGCAGGACTTTGTAGAGCTAGACATAAAAAAATACCATGGGGTTGAAAACTTGTTTAGAGGATTAATAGAAGTGTATCATTGAAATAATTAATATCTTGGCAAGACTTGTTTAGTACGGGAATATCAAAACACAGGGATGGAAGGGACCAAAAGTAGAACCACTACATAATTAATCGTAGCTCGGCGGCACCATTTTGCCTTTGGAAGATTCATAATTCGTCTTGTCTGGCTCTCTTTAAAGTCAGAAAATGATGGAGAATGTTATTCACTACCTTCTTGGAGAAATCCACATGTAATATTATTATGTTAATAATACAAAATAAAAGTCTACCTTTTTTCCTTTGCGATCCATGTTAAAGGGAAACTTGGCGATTTTCCAGAACCCGTAATCAGGAAAGCTGGATCCTCTCGAGAAATTAATCACTAAACCGGACAGGATTCCATTCAAGTCGATGCTTTCGTTTCGACGTGCTTTGAATTACTCTGGAGAAGCCCTTTTTGCATATTCTAGAAGATGGAAATGAAACTGCAGGCTAGCTCACTGTGTCTCTCAAACTTTATTATCTTTAGCTTAGCCCACCTTTGCAGATTGGAAAGAAAAGGAGAGGTCGCATTGAAATTTCATGAAATCTATAATTGTATTATAAAAATGGGTATTGTCATATCCCAAAAAAGAATAGTATAACAATAAATCGGGTATTATTCTTTAGATGGGATTAACAGCATTCATGTCAAGGCCGAAAATAAAGCTCTGAGGAATGGTTTGAAGTTTATAAGTTGTAATACGTTGAAAAAAAAAATTGTTCTTTAATGTTATTCTTCTCTTTGGATCAGAGAAAAAGAAAACAACCAGTCTGACCATTTTGCTCATTCATGTTGCTGATGCGAAAAATTCTTCCACAAATTAAGAGCGAGAGAGCACTAGAAGGGTTTTCCACTATCGTCCATGCTTGATTAAGTGATCATGGGTCGAGATTCTTATCAACAAAGGATATGGATAGGTAGTGATAGACTGATAGGTCAAGAGCATCAATATTTGGGCCAGAAAAAACGCTTTGTAGTAAAAACTTATTCTGATCCCTTAACTTGCAACAGAGAGCAGATGTGACTGCACATCAAGACGTGAAAAACAAAATCATTGTTGAGATGGATAGATGTAAAGTCCCTCCAATGTCACTTGGGCAGGGCAGGGCAGAAGAATAAAAAGAGAATCTCTTCTCCAACAGTTAATCATTCCTGTCATATTCCTTCTTGCAATTTTTGCCACAGCTGTGGCTGGGAGGATGAACGAAGGATAGAGAAACACAACCGCAAGAACGGCAGCATAGCAAAGTTTAAACATCGTTTGTCGATCATGTTACAGATTCTCTCCTCTCAGTTGCTCTTTTTCCCTTTTCCTTAATTGGTTACTCCATGTCACGCCCGTTACGGATAGGTGCTCTAATTTTAAAGATACTCGTACTTCCCTTCCCCACCGGCAAAATTCTTTCGATCAAATGATCAAAGAAATTCCTTTTTTATCCTTATATTTCTTTTGGGTTCAAGCACGAATTATTCGATTTGTTTTACATACAAGATTTGTTTTGTGTCTGATTTACAAATGATAGTAACGTTTTGGTGTTTATAGATAGATATTCACCATGCATATATGTTCCACAAAAGAGGAACAGATTTTTTTAACCATTCAACAAGAACAAGTTTCAAGCCGAAGCCTGTATTATCCCATTGCATGATGCATGAAAGAGCTTTTTTTTTTTTTTTGGGCGTGGCCAGCGATCCATGAAATTAAAATTTGTCATCTTCAGCATGAGTGCTGCGAGAGTATGGACCTCTGAAAGTGAAATCATGGGCGCTGTCACTGAAAAATCAGGAATAACACCCTGTAATCTCCAGGGGGAGCACAAAAAAAAGCTTGTAAAATGAAAGGCCTCGCTGACTCAGGAAATTAAAACAGTAACCCTCTGCGTGTTTTATCCGCACACAATCGTCCATGCACCAGAATCCAATTTGTGGAACGCATTGAGATTGTACGGCCTTCAATTTTACACTTCAGCTAATGTTTATTTATTGAAATGATGCATCATTATTTATTTATGACAAGTTGTTTTTGGTGTCTTGCTATGATAAGAGCCTATGGATCAAGCAAAATTATGGAAGAACCATTCTTTTGTAACTCACAAAAAAAAAAAAAAAAAAGGATGTGTAATCTTATCCTCTTCAGAACAGCGCATGGGAGACCATTTATCGATATATTAAGTTCCATGAGTGGCCTGTCTTTTCTAGAATACGAGACCCGGGCGATTTGAGGATTACAAGCTCCAATGATCGATAAACGCCAGACTAATCAATTAGAATGAGATAATGTTGTTGTTATCTGAACTCTTTTGTTCGGCGGCCAAGTTTCCATCATTTCACCATTCCATCCCACTTTTCGCTCTTTTGAACAGATTCTGTCTGCTACTGCATACAAAACTGTTTGCGTTACCACGTCATTACCGTCCTGAAGAAATGCTTTGTTTGCCAAAAGGGGAATAGGGTTGCAGCCGAAAAAGCATACATATATATACCTTTTTTTTTTTCTTTTGGAGATTTTAAGTTATCAGAGTCTTCATTCATCGAATAGCATATTAATTTGAGGGCAGCCATTGCATTTCGCTGTGTAATATGCTAATGGAAAGCAACAACGAAATCGAAGTGGGAAATGTCATCAGCAAAATTTGAAACTCTAGACTCGAATTTTAATCACAGACTGGATATTTGAACGCGAATTTAGATACATGGTTTGCCATTTTTCATTTACAATAACAACTCAATATCCTCTTCAGAGTTGGATGAAGGAAGAAAGAAGGTGCACATGTCCTCCCTATAGCTTAAATCAGTTGTGCAAGTTTTCTTTTTCGTCAACATTTTCAGTTTTAATTATCTATATGTCTTACCTCTCCATTTTTACTATCGGAATGATCTTGCCAAATCAAGAAATTAAACAGATGAAATTCAGGAAAGTTCTATTCAAACATGTAGCACCAAATAGATAATGAGCATTTGATCAGCATATCTCGAAGGATATCTTTATTCTTGGAGTCATTGATCAAGAAAAGAAGGATTGGATTTACTTTTAAGAAAATCTCATCCTTTGCATTCTCTTTTTCTTTCTGCGGCTTCACCGTACGTTTCATTTCAGTGATCCTTGACTAGAACTTTGTTGCTTTCGGGACTACAGAAGGAGCTCTTGGTTCCATAAGCCGCCACAATTTTAAAAGGGTTAATTCTGCTTTGCACCCTTTAGCTCTCCTCACGTTCTCACTTTAATCTTTAAACTTTAATGTGTGACATTTTAGTTTTTAAAGTGTAAAGTTCATTATACTTGAGTAAAATTCATCCCATTTTTACTCCCTTAATTATAAAATTTTTATACTTTAACCCCTAGAGTGGGACACAGATTTTATAATTAAGTGGGATAGATTTTATGTTTTGAGGATGAAAATGGGGGGAAATTTTACTTAAGTGGAATAGATTTTTATAATTTAAGAATTGAAGTACCTCGCTTTGAAATTTAGAGACCTAGTTATCAAACACTCTATCAGCTTCAACAAAAATCTAATGTCAATAATCAGTTAATGATAATAATAGTGATAATGATTGATGAACTTTTATCATATAGCTCCTAGCTCTTAATTTTTTTTTTTTTTTAAAAAAAAAAACTCTTTCTTTTTGCCTAACAAAACAAAAGAAGACCATAACCTCAATAATGTAGAGGAATGTCTATGTCAACTTTCCCGTACAAAATGCTTTTCTTTCCTTGATCTTTCTATTTCAACGAGTAAACTAATGAGGATCAAGTTCGCATGTTGGAAATTGTTTTATGAAGTTAACAGCTATCTTCGCGATTTCAACCCACTTATGAGAACCAAATGCCTTGGTAAATAGATATTCTCTGCCACGTCAATGATAGTAAACTTACCATTTTGTAGATAAAGTGAAATAGGTATAGTTTGTTTTTACTAAAAAATGTACTACCAAACATATGGTTGGGCTTCCACTTACAGCGTCACTAAAACTCATCTGAAAATGTCATCAAGTCTCGTTGTAGACGCGAGGATTATATTGATGGGCAATTTGGTTTTGAGAACATGCCTTGACTGTAGTGATGATCGGAATCCAATCCATTCAAACCTTTTCCTTATAAAAAAAAATCTGATAATGTCACTGAAAGTGCAATGGAATTTTTTTGTTAGGATGAACCTCTTTTTGTTTTTGGCTCCTTACTTTGTCCTATAGCTTTCCCACGTTTACCTCCACGCCCCCCCTCCCCCCTTCTCCCCTTGAAAATTGAGCCGGATTGCAGCTATATATACCTCCCTTGGTGATGATGTATTGCATGGTTCCAGCCCAATTGAATTCCCTTCTCCTTCTCCCCTTCGGCTCTTCATATTAAAGAAAGAAGAAGAAAACAGCCGCTCCTCCCGTTTAATATCACCTTCAGCACATCTTAGGGCCAAATATGGAACGCAATCAACTGCGACGAAAACTTGCTAATATGAGACAATCTCTCTTTGAACAGGTTTTTCTGATTTTCTCCTTTTATTTCCAATTGTGAAGTCAAAAACTTTAAGTTTTGTTTTTGTTCTTTTAGAGAACCTAGCTCCTTGTTATATTTTTTAAGCATTTCTGTCATATATTGCCATCACAAAAAGTTTCTTGGGAATACAAACTAACATGTTGCCCTCCTGGAGTTATTCCTGCATCACTATCTCAGCAGCAGCGCCACATATTGCATGGAAATTTGGAAAACACGCTATCGAGGAATAAGGAAGATTCCTAAGCGCATTGAATATGAAATCTGAAGTCTCGCCCCTTGTTAATCGCGTTCTTCTGTTCTGTTGAACAATTTTGTGCATTTTTGTGGCATCCTGCCTGCAGGGGTATCTAGACGAACAATTCACTCAGCTGGAGGAGCTGCAGGATGATGCTAATCCTAACTTTGTAGAAGAAGTTGTCACATTGTTCTATAGGGATTCAGCCCGAACAATCCAAAATATTGAGCAAGCACTGTGAGTCAATTCTACAGCTTGCTTCTTAATACATATAGTATAAAAGTAGCTCATTTAGTAATTGTTGTCATGCATGTAATTGACTTTGAGAAATAGAAATGGAGGGTCCATCTCCGGGTACAGAGTACTAAATTTTCTATTTCCATCATCTGTATATGTACAGGGAGAAGAACCCTCTTGATTTCGCTCAACTGGATAGCTACATGCACCAGTTCAAAGGAAGCTGTTCAAGGTAAAACAATGACCCGAAGATGTAAGAGAAGAGTTAATTATTCATGCTTCCCTCATTTTGGCTGCAAATAACTTAAAATTTTAGCTCTTTGTAACGTTTTACGCCAAAAAAAAAAAAAAAAAAGGTAACATAAGTGGCTCTAGTGTTGGTTTTTGGGATACAAAAAGTAGTACTAGTATATGTTCTTTTGGCTTCAAAATCACCTCTATCCCTCGATCTCTCACGCATGCAGCATTGGAGCCGTGAAGGTTAAAGGTGAAAGCACGCAATTCAGGAATTACTGCAAAGAAGGAAATGCAGAAGGGTAATTAGTCATCTCCTCCAACACTTGTACTGTACGCTATTATTCCCTAGATTTACATAAAACTATTATATACGTATATTTTATCCTTCAAAAACTCTGCATGAACACAAGCAGATGCAGGAGAACTTTCCACCAGCTAAAGAAAGAATATGCTGCACTCAAAAAGAAGCTGGAGCTTTATTTTCAGGTCCTAAACTTACTTTACCATTTAAACTTGTTCATTGATAAAAAGAGAGAATATACTCCATTTTCCTTTTTCTTTTTTTTTCTTTTTTTTTTAAATTTCCAGTATGCAAGACAAGCTGGACCAGATGAGACAGCGTGTCGCCCAAAGTAATCAGTGAAGAATCTTAGCAGAAGTGGGCGGACAAAGATACAAGTTAGCTAGCTGGTGATCAGGAGAGTGTTCAGGCAAATTGTTGGAGTATGATCTCTGTAGTCTGTAATAGTCTGTATGCGTGCATGATGCATTGCACTATCGTGGATATATTATGCGCCCCTTTTGCTATAATATTCCCGACGCCTTGAAAGGAAGAAGACACTGCTACTACAGTACTACTACTACTCCTTCTGCTCTGTCAAATAATTCAGCAGTCATTGCAGGTTCTCGTACTCTTGTCTGTGGCTTGCATTTATTATTGTTTGCCGCAACCTCTGATTTGTATGAATAGCCTTTTTCCTTTGACAACATATCGGTGCTCCCCATCCGGCCGCAGGCCTTCAATTCAATTGAACAGAGTTTAATGCCAATTAACAAAACTACTAGAGTGTACTACTACTAGATTTCACGCTGTAATGATTCTGCGTGCAAAATCAATAGAGTGCTGCCCGTACATCGAAGCTAAGTAGTGGACAAGGCCGAAGAAGATTTCTTTGGACATGTTCAATCAGACCCCTTGTAAAAGCCCATCGAAGCAAGTTGGGCTTCGTGCTATCCGGCTCCCCACAGGTTTTTTTCATTTCACCTAGTAAAATTTGAGTCATCAGTAAACATAAACAAAACATCTTATTCAATGTTTAAGAAAAAATGAAAAAAAAAAAAGAGTGTAGTGTTGTGTGGAAACTAGTAGAAAGCAATTACGTACCATGATTCAATGGACAATAAAATGCCAAGAAGATGAAGACTGCTTGTTAGGTGGATGATTCCTTAATGTTCTCTATGCACTAGTATGATTAACCTAGGTGGATGATTCCTTAATCCTTACATATTAGGCACGTTAATTTTATGGCTACTGATAATGTGTAAATTTTTATTTGGTGAGAGTTAATTTCATTTTGTATCCTTTTACTATACCTAAACTTTTTTACTTGATTTCAAAGTAGAATAGTATAGCTCCTAAAATACATAATTTATTCGACTGTGGTTTCTAAAATATAAAATACGTAAAAACCTTAGTTTCTAAAGTATAAAATTTGTCTTACTTTTATTTAAAGTCTGGCACATTTTCGTTAATTGTTTTACTTGAATACGATAAAATCTAATATTTTAAATATTAGAGTATTCTATATTAAAGTTTAAGGGCCAAAACGAGAATTCGAACACGTTTGGGACCAGCTAAATTATGCTTTTTCATTAACTAAAGCCATTATAAAAGCAAAAATGCTCTGCTATAAACATCATTAATTCTTACACCCGATGCAAAGTTTTTAGTTCTAAATTTGCTCCATTATCACCCAAATAAATTTTAGAAAATTGATGTTTGCGAATAAATCTAGTAGAAAGTATCTAACAGTTGCTATATTTTATTTTCTTTGGTTACAGCTCCTGCTTTGTTTGGATTGCAAATTTTTCAACTAAAAATTTTTACCTTTTCTCGTAAACTCATTTTCTGATCATTTTTTTTTAATTCACATATATCAAATCATTACAATACATTTTTATACAATGCATCTTTTCAATTTCCACTTGCCACCACAGTTTCGAGATTCTAAGGATGCATGATGTTTAGTGGTATCAATTTGGGTGCATGACAGCATTATATCTAGGCAACGAGGACTTGTAAAACGAACAAAAAGATGTATTTATAAAAAATATAAAAATTTATCTGTGAAAACTAACAATCCAAAGTCCAAACAAGGCGGTCGGTCACAGCCGAAAAAAGACACTGCGATGCGTTATAGATTTTTATCGCGTACACCTGCACTAGTTCTTAAGTAGCAGTCGCCAGCGAGTTAAACTTCAAGTAATACCCCCGCCCTTTTACTCCCAATACCCAGCGTCCCTCTCCACCGCTCCCTTTTTCTCCGATCAAACACTTGTTTGTACAGATGCTCTGTTATATAGCATTTTTCGTGTATTTCTGATTTAACTTTCGCTGTTCGATTCCTCCTTCTCCTACATTCTTTTTTCTTTGATGATTCAGTTTTGATTAGATTCCCGAAATAAACAATCTCCTTCTAATAATAAAATTGTTTTTGGCTCTAGGGTTGGAATTTAGCTGTCCTTTCAGCTCAATCTCGAATTATATGTAATTGAATTTAACTTCTTCGATCCTCGGACGGAGAATTTTCTCCAAATTTAATCGCACTTAGCTGTCAACTTTTGTGAAGTTTTGTTCGTTCTGTTTTGTAATTGCTAGGTTTTTTTTTTTTTTCCGATTTAGTATACATACAAATTCGTGCTAATACGGGGCTATGAATGCAATGCATACAACTAAAACTCGGTAAATTTGTGAGTTACTGCAAATTTCTGTCATTTATGTTACTTAGGGTTTCAGTTCAGTAGTAAACGCAGAGTTGCGCAAGGGGAGTAGTTGTAATGGCGTCGTATAGGCCATTTCCTCCGCCACCTCAGTCAACTTTTGCTCCTCGGCCACCTCCTCCGCCGCCGCCGCCGCCGCCGCCGGGGCCCGCGAATCAGAATCCTTTGCAACCTCCTGCCTTGCCCCCTCATCAGCAGCAACAATCTCAAGGGAATCAGTATTCTCAGAATTGGGGTTATTCTCAAATGCCGCCAAATTCGAATTATCCGCAGCCATACAATCCTCCTCCGCGGAATCAAATTCCGCCGCAGCCAGCACAGCAACAATATCAGTATCCTCCTCCGCCGCCTCTCCAGGATAAGTCCTTCCCACCTCCTCCTCCTCCGACTTCCTTGCCCCCGCAGCCTGGCCCTGCCCCGCCTGCTCCAGGGTATTATCCATCTGGTCAGTACTCCCAGTACAGTCAGCACCAGCCTTTGCAACCCTTGCAGCCACCCCCACCTCCGCCGCCCCCTTCCTCTCCTCCCCCTAATTCTGTCGCTCCACCTCCTCCTCCGCCACCGTTATCGCCTCCGCCACTACCGTCGTCACTTCCTCCTGGTCAGAGCAAGGAAAACAGGAATGCAGAGGAGAGAAGGCCATCGAGGGAAGGAAGAGATTCTGGGTGGCGTGATTTGGGAAACGCTAAGCAGCAGAAGGTTCCTGTTCCTCAAGTTCCAGCTAGAAAGCCCAGTGGGCCTCCAGGGAGGGTTGAGACAGAGGAGGAGAGGAGGTTGAGGAAGAAGAGAGAATACGAGAAGCAACGGCAGGAAGAAAAACATAGGCAGCACATTAAAGAATCACAGAGTAGAGTGCTGCAGAAGACCCAAATGATATCTTCTGGAACAAAAGCGCATGGGTCGATTACTGGCTCACATATTGGTGACAGGAGGACTGCTCCTCTGTTAAGTGGTGAGAGGATTGAGAACCGGTTGAAGAAGCCTACGACATTTCTTTGCAAGTTAAAGTGAGTATGCTGAAACATCAATTGGATCTGTGTTGTTGCTTAAAGATTTGTCCTTTTCCTTCTAAGGGCACATGTTTATGTGGATTTGATTGTGACACAGTTGTAGTGCTGAAAGTTTAGATGGTTAGACATTATCTTGTTAACCAACATGAGGATGTTTATAGCATGCCATTATGACAGTAATTTCTAAGAATGTTTTGTTCTTACACTAGCGATATGAGTGGTGCACTTTAGATTTTGGTAAAGCATTTATTGCGTGCATATGTGAATTCTGTGTGCGCACATTAGTGAAATTTTTACTGATATAGAGCAAATTATTACCTATTGAGCAGTAATCTTCCTTTTGACCATTTTGAGTTAACGTTCGAGAGAGAACATATTACACAAAACATATACCATGCTATTCAATTGCTTAAAAGTTTATTCTTTGTTTTTCCCTTAAACACTTGTTTGATTGTGATTGGAGGATGATCACAAGGATGGCATTAAAAATTTTCAAACAAGTTAAAAGTTAATTTTGGTGTGCATCCAACTTTGAATTAGCAAGGTCGATTGTGGATTTGTAGTATCAATAGTTTGACAGGTGGCATCCTTTCTCTTAAGCTAACAAAATCCATTAGTGTCTTCTTAAATTGGGTTGTCAATGGTCACTAAGCTATGATGTCTTTAAAAGAATACCATGGACATATACAAAATAATAAGTTCCAACAAGCTGATAACTTTCTGTTTATTATTTTTCTTGAGAAATGCATTTTACTGAAATAAATTGGCTATTGTGTTGGATTTGTAAGTTAAAAATATAGCCGTTGACCTAACCCATAAGGGTGACTTCAAAGAAGTGAAAAATCATGATGCTAAGAGTTCTACTTTCTCTTCTGCATCAAGCCTAGCCTACTTTCACTGGCGCACTCCTGGAAACCCATCTCAAACTTAAAACTGCTTGTCATCTTTTGCCATGCTAACGATCCATAAACAGTAGATCCAACCCAAATACAATCCAACCTAGCCCTAGCCGCATATCTGCTGCACGTAAACTTAAAGTTATTGAGATTTATTCATTCCTGCCTCCAGTCTCTGGCCAAGGTCACCACTTTAAGGGAATTATTTCCTCTCTGGCAAAAAGAAACTGTTATAAGCATTCTGAACTTGCAAAGAACATTTCATTTCCTTGAAGAGAATGTGGTCGTGCATTTTTTATGATCAAAGGAAGAACAAGTTGCAGGGCTTTCTGTATCTGATGATGCTACACATCACTTACTGTTTCAATTGATGTTTCACTTTTGTCGTTTTTGCTAATTGTGTTATATTTTCCCATGAAAAGAAAAAGCTTTCCTTTTGCTCTTCACTTTTTGCTGTGTGAATATCATTGATTTGATTTTGTAATCTTTGCAGATTCCGGAATGAATTACCTGATCAGACAGCACAACCAAAGCTTACATCTTTAAGGAGAGATAAAGATCGGTAAGAAACCTTTTCCTGCTTTTCTTCCTGCCACTCACTTCTCCTCCTTTTAATGAATTATGTAATAGTGGCTCTGTTTATATAGTCGGTATGCTAACTAATCATAAGCTTGTCAATAAATTAAAATCTTAATTCACGATAATGTGACCTGTAGGGCAAGAAGTTTTTTGTTCTTTTTCCTTGAAAAATTTAATGGTCTTGATGTGATAGAACTAAGTTTTGGCATATTACCTTGAAGGATGGAAATGGCTGGCTTGAATACTGATTTTATTAAAGAGATTGTGGTTTGATGGGGAGTGAATGTGAGCCTTATTCGGGCTATGCAGCATAATTTCCTAACAGATTAATTGTAAAGGGAAATGTAGGATTGTCGCAGATGATCATCAATCAATCGAAATTGTAGCCTTGTCCAGGAAACTGAGTATGAAAACAAAACTTTGTAGAAATTGGACGTGATCATTTACTCTTTACCATTTAGAGTGAGATTAAACCTTTCTCAGGAATACCATCAAGTTTTTCTGTTTAAATGGTGGAGAACTTTAACAAAATTGCTCATTTAATTGGAGGCATGGAACACGGTTCTACATGACATGTCAAGCCGTTTGAAGTTTTATAAAAAGAGTTGCTATGAAGATGACTTATGACAGAAGTGAATCATCCAATAAGCAGCCTGCAACTTTAATGAATGTGGAAACATCTGCCTCTCTTCCCTTTCTCTATTCCGTTTATTCATTAGAACGGTTGATGTTTGCTCTGAGTTCCAGCATAGTTGTGTGTCATGCTCGATTTACTTGCAATGAGAGTCACTGCATGGCTGGGTTCTATATTTCCAATTTCCTACATTTTGAATGCTGGAACTTCCATTACTAACCTTTTTCTTGGGAAATTTAATCTTTCTAGCACTTGTGTCGCATAATGTGTCATCAACCCTTGATAACAGTTCTACCATTAGAACCTCAAGATTTAGATCTATTTGGAATGTGTCAAGTACTTTTCACACATCATATTCATACATTATAAATTGCAACCATGAATAATGACTATGTATACAATTTTACTGAATGTACGCCTGCCCAGCTTACTAGATATGATCGGAGGTTCACTTCTGCAAAATTTTGATTCTGATTTTGCAGAAAACTTGTGCAGTAATAACTAAGAAAATATCTATCCCTTACTTGATTCTGCCTCATATTTGCCTTCCATTCAATATTTCTAGTTTTTAGTTCCTTTGTTAGATTGGTAACCAAGTCTGCAGGTTTACAAAATATGCCATCACTTCTCTGGAGAAAATGCACAAACCTGAACTATATGTTGAACCGGATCTTGGAATACCACTGGATTTGCTTGATCTCAGCGTGTATAAGTATGTCCTTGACAATTCTTTTCCCCCAAAATTAATTACAAATCTTTAAAGCATGAAAATGGTGATCTTTCATAATTTCTTTCTCGATTAGTCCACCCAAAGGCAGAAGCCTGCAACTAGATCCCGAGGATGAGGAATTATTACGTGATGATGATCCTGTAACCCCAATTAAGAAAGATGGCATAAAAAGGAAAGAAAGGCCCACCGACCAAGGTGTTTCTTGGCTGGTCAAAACCCAATATATTTCTCCTCTTAGCATGGAGTCGTCTAAACAGGTACCATTCAGCATGATTTGGTCTGAAGATGTTTATTTTAATGTGAACTGCCGGGGTGGAAGTTACAACTTGGATTCTCTTTGTAGTCTCTCACTGAAAAGCAGGCAAAAGAATTGCGAGAAGGTCGCAATCTTTTGGAGAATCTTAATAGCAGGTTAGTTGTGAGCTTAAATACTATTTTCCATGTGAAGAGGTGCATATAAAAACATTCTGATTGTTGGGGCCATATAAAATGATATATTGTAATTTTCAGGGAAAGACAGATCCAGGAAATTCAGGCTTCATTTGAGGCATGCAAGGCCAGGCCTATTCATGCAACTAATTCTAGATTACAAGCTGTTGATATTCTCCCGCTTTTTCCTGATTTTGATCGGTAGATCTCTTCATTTTTCATCTTCATTGCATAATTTTTAAGCCAGTAATTGTCTATTAGCACTTATATTTGCAGTTATGTACAGGAAGAGGGGAAGTGTCTACATATTGTACCCTTGCTTTTGGATAGAATTTGTATTCTAAACACAGTCTTTTAGGGTTTATTTTTTTTTTTCTACTTGTATGGGTAACTATACAAGCCTTTGAAGTCCTTGGGTTATTAAAAGGTCTGTCTAGTTACAGTATACTGTAGTTCTACTTGTATCTAAGACTCAGTTGGGAACAAAGTCATTTAGGCCTTGTTTGGGAGTGCAGGGAAGAAAAGAAAAGATGAGAAGAGAAAACATACTAAATAATGCTCTTTTGTCTTCTTCTGGAGTTCTGGAAACAAATTTTATTCTCTTGTTGGGAGTTTGAAGAGAACTGGAAGGATATGATGTTTTAGTAAATTCACTTTAAAAAAATGTCTTGCTGAAACTGGACAGTTGTCCAGAAGTGGTACATCTGTTTATGGGATATAATGTTGGAGTCTAATTAGAAATTTCATTCATGCGCAGACATGATTTTAGATTCACATTACCTGTTTAAGGTCTCAAATATTTTTAGTTGACCCCATAAAGAAACAAGAAGTGTCGTATTACCTGCAAGAATGGCTTTTTGGGCTCTGATTCTTATAGCTGATTGACTGTTTCTTCAAGTGAATTGGCTTTGGTTTTATGTGAAAGTTGATGTAGTACTGCTGATTTGGCAGGTACGATGACCAGTTTGTTGTAGCAAACTTTGATAGCGCTCCTACTGCTGACTCAGAAATTTACAGCAAGTTGGATAAATGTATCCGTGATTCACATGAATCTCAGGTAAAATCTGTTAATTCGTGTTTGTATACATCAAAGTATTTACTACATCATTTTGCACATTGAAGTCAGACTGTCAAGAGTTAGTTCACTGGCCCACCATTGATTACTCTTGAGTTCCCTCGTGGAGGATTAGTATATCCGAGACACAAATCATACAACCTTTTCTTACAGGTTGAAGAGTTAGAGGGAAAGGAGGAGATTTTAATATGGATGTTCTATTTTCAGTTGTATTATCGCAGCCTTTAGTGATTGTGTGGAGGGGAGGGATGCAAGGGGATTTTCTCATTCCTGGCCCCCACATTTGTCATACTAATTTATTCATGTCATTTTTTTTGCAGGGTGTTGGGGGGGGGGGATTTTGTGATGTGACTAAGAATTTACTGAATTTACTGCTGTTTAACCCTTATGAAATTCATAAATTCTTCTAGCACCTTTAATTTTTGTACACATTGTTTATTTCATATGAAGTCTTAACAGTTCTAAGTGGATTGAATATCTTGTCACCAATTGCCGTGAGTCTCAACAGTCCTAAGTGGAAAGTGGATTGATTACTTCTATGAAGTCTCAACAATTCTAAGTGGATTGATTATGTACCCAAAAAAAGTGGATTGATTATCTTGTCACTGAATACTGTAATTTTTCCAGATTATATTACCAGTTTCTCAATCATAATTACTAAACATAGTAAGAGAGAGTTTTGTGACAAGTATGTTCATGATTGCAGGCAATTATGAAAAGTTTTGTGGCTACCAGCTCTGATATGGCAAAACCTGATAAATTTTTGGCTTATATGGTTCCTTCACCTAATGAGGTAGTTGAATTTTTACTCGAGGAAAAATGGCAATATAATTTCAACGTGACTGATTTTCTCTCAGTTTTGTATGATCGTCAATGTATATGTGTTTATCGTTCCAGCTATCAAAGGATATCTATGACGAAAGTGAAGATGTTTCATACTCCTGGATTCGTGAATATCATTGGGATGTATGTATGCTTTCTTTAGTTTTTCTATAGATACTTTTACTGCATCTGCTGACTGAGACATCCTTCATGTATGGACAGGTTCGAGGGGATGATGCGGACGACCCCGCAACTTATCTTGTGACCTTTGGCGAATCAGAGGCGCACTATATGGTATGTTATTTGAGCTCTTTAGTGTTACTTTATTTACTTGTACTTAAAGTTTGGCATTTATCGTTGAGGGGTGGAAACGCTCTCTATGAGGATTTTGCTAACACAGAGTATATTTTGATGCAGCCTCTACCGACGAAGCTAATTTTGAGAAAAAAGAGAGCTAGAGAAGGGAAATCAAGCGAAGAAGTTGAACATTTTCCTGTACCTTCGAGATTGACTGTAAGGAAGAGATCAACTGTAGCCGCAATAGAATTGAAGGAAGTTGGGGTATGCCAATTAACCTTTATTTTTCTTCTTTCTTTTGAAAAATATCAAGAACATCTGGCTGATCTTTGAGTTCCTCGTGTTTGTAGGGTTATTCAGCATCAAAAGGGAGTGGTTTCAATTCGAAGAGAGCAAGATTGGACATGGAAGATGGCCTTGGTCAATCACAGAAGAGTGTGGATGATATGGAGCCAGATCAGTCCAGTGGAGGCGAATATGATATGTCTGATTGAATGTGTTTATACGGAATTATCCAACTGATACTATACAGAGTCAGAGAGTGCAAGAGTCAATTAGTGACAGCAGAAATATAATGGGATATAGGATTTTTGCCTTGCTTCTTGTGAAAATTTTGATAACTCGAAATTTTTCCTGTCTTCTAAATTTTGGATTTTTTCCCTCATTTCTTTTTATGTTGCTTACAACTTACAAAATTTTGCCTGAAATTTGGACATGATTTACCTGTATCTTGGCTTTTATCGTATTCGTGATTAAACACACACAAAAAAAATAAAATAAGTTATGAAACCAAATTAATTGGATTTGGGAAAATTTTCACCTTATAATTAAAAGGGATATAGAAGATTTGTTCTTGAATTTCCATAACTAACCCAAGAAGGAAGGTATTCAAGTATCAACAAGAACGATCGAATGTGAGATTGAAATTCAAAGTCGGTCATTTTGGAACTACCAAGGAAAAGCAAAATAATTTCATAACACCTTTGGAATTCCTCGTGTTGGATAACGTCACGAGAAAAAAAAAATCAGAGGCAAGAGAAAATGTCCAATATATTAGACTATGGAAAGCTAAAAGGACGACTGAAAGTTAATATTGAAAAGAACTTTGACACTGCGAACATAACTGAATAAGATGCAGTCATTTTCTTCTTTCGCTGTTTCCTGTTATGTTGAGGAATTGCAATAAGTTTACATGGTCATGATTGCTGTACCTTGTGACTGCAAGCAGAATGCCCCCATTGAACAAAAGGCAATTAGCACACTTCTACTAATTAAGCTATATACATTAACATCCTAATGAAACAAATCAATGCTCTAAACTCCCAAACTCACATTTTAAGGTGAGATATCATTCTCCAATAGAACTATTCAGCAACAAAGCTGCATATATAGCGGCTTCAGAAACTTGGAGACCTCTTGAAACACTTTTATCAGAGCAATATATGTCAGTCTCAAACTACCAAGGACATGGTAAATCCTCCAATTACTCCGAAGGGTGACCAAGAAATGGCAATGTTGACACTAGCTAACAATTTAGGACAATCACTTGTCTGCCTCAATTGAAAGCAAAAAATCATCTACACTTCCGAACAGCAGGCAAGATGAAGAATGCGTTATCCCTGCAGTCCTCTATTGTTGACTAGAAGGTACTCCAACTTGCTTAAGAAAGCTGAAAAGGAACACACAATTGAGTCATCAAGAGCTACATGCTAAATGGTTCAGTAACATGATTTATTTCATCGCTTTAAAATAGAAAACACCCAATTCCATGATAATTTATTGTGCCACTAGTTTTACTCAATTTGCTGATATATCATTTCGTGTACTTATGGTAAATATGCCTCAATGGATCTTTATATTGCAGTTAAGTGATCACAATAACACATTGGAAATCTATCCCTTCTTTCCAGGTATCTAGGTAGCTTCTCTAAAGTAAACCTGCAAACTTTTTAGGTAACATTTTATTGTTACACAATGCAATACTACGAGATAGAAGGGGCATGCCTGCAATTTGAGATGCATGACTGAGTAGTTTCCAGTTTCAGCTACCAAGAAAGATTAGTATAGCATGACAATGGTACTTCTTCATCTTCCCTGAGAGCAACAAATGAGCAAAGATCATCATTATTTCCCATCTGCAGTACTTCTAATACCATTAATTCTGATGCAATATAGTAAACCTTATCTCACAAGCCTTGGAACTCGATGTTATTTAGTATTTCAAAAGTGAAGGCTTCTTGAGGCAATTGATGCCCTGTCCAAAAACATCAGCTGCCAGTGAGCAAAATCTAATTATAACCTTCACTATTGAAGAAGGAAAAGAACACCATCATTTATTTGATTGCCCAAACCAAGCTTGGCGACATCTGACTGCTTCTTGTCTGACAGCCCTCTTTGGATCATCCAAGGCTTTTGATATAGCTTGTAAAACCTTATAAGGATATAGAGAACATTCTTTAGTATGCATGAAATGATGTAACTGCATATTCATGCACATGGACAGAATTGGGTTGCGCAAAAAGTAGAGAAATGAGAGAGTGCATCAACAAAAGCAGCTTTCCTAGTAATTGATAATTGACAAAGACAATATGGCAAAATATTTGAAATCACGAAAATAATGTTTATATATCATTGGTTACACATAATTGAGTTCACGTAGACATGCAACATAACTAACTGCTACCTTTGTTCTCAATGGATAAATCCTCGCATAAGGCAGTTCAGACATTGCAACAAGGCACTGAATTGCTGTCTCTCGAATTACCTAAAACATTACGAGAACAATTTTACAGAATTTATAAAGGAATCACATCTGATCAAATTCATTTTTGCTTAGACATAAATATGCACAAGTGTTTGTTACCCACATTAATTGTGTACCAAATTAGTTTTTGGATTTGTCCATCATGAAGAAAAAGCTAGATATCAATTAAAAAATTCTTTTTACCATCATATGAGGATACGCCGCAAGCCCAATAAGCTGGTTAATTATGGCTTGTGCATTTTCCAAAACAGCTACTTGTCCTGGACCAAGAGGTTAAACTTGGTTCATAAATCAAAGAACTTGCAGATTCATGAAAGAAAATCTGTAATATCGTTCAGTAGGGACATTAAATTCTATCAGACAATGGAACAACACCCTTACCATTTTTGTCCATCAAAATTGCAGATAGGACTAGAATGACATTGTAGATGACATCTTTATGCATAACATCCTCAGTCAAGGTGGACAAGCTATCTAGAAGCAAGGGAATGAGCTGCAGACAAGGGCCCAATTTTGCAGTAGATTTATCAACCCAAACCCAAACAAGAACAAAATAGAATTGGCAGGAAGTTCTAGGATACTAACCTTATTAGCTTCACTTATCATAGCAGACAGAGGGGTCTCTGATATTACATGTGCAAATGATCGGAATAGCATGGATCTGTAACAGGTTGTTTACCACAATCTTTAGTACTTGAGTGCATACATATGTTTAAGATTGATGAAGAGCACATTCTATTCCATTACTCTATTCCATCAATTCCAATATCAGTCACAAACAAGGTTACTGTATTATGCTTCTAAACATTTGAACAGTAGCTTTTGTTAAGCCACAATTCACAAAAGTATTGACAGGACAGTTCCATCATCCAAAATGACGATTTAAGAGTTTAGCGATAGACATTTAAGACCATGGCTCCAAAGTACTTAAAGAAAAGTTATGATGAATATCTTCTAGTTCCTTCGGGGACCAACGTGGTTCTCTCTGATAGGTATAAATACAACAAAATTACAAGCCTGCAGTACTCTTCAAGTCCTAACTGATGCTACCAATCTAGACACTGCAATGCACACTTGAACACTACATGTTGCCAGCCTGTACCTCGCCTGCTGGAATGCTTAGAATTAACAACCCTGAAGGAAGAAGGATTCAAGCACATGAAAGTAGAGAGAAGAGAAAAAGCATGCAACTGCTACTGAACAAAAGGGGGCAAAACACAAAATCTTGGGGGGAACTGGTGAATGGTGCTTGAGCAAAATCTCACTGTTCGAAACATGACATTTAACTACGAAGAAAGTTGAGCTCATGCTAGTATCACCATACCGGAGAGAGGAAAATCTTCTACTAGTGATGCTTACAGCAGGCATAAAAAGCTATTAAGGTGGACAACGGAGAAGTAGCAGGCTTCGTAGTTTCAAACTTAAACCAGAAAAATTAAATCAAGGAGTACAATGCCAACAATACATGGCTTTAGATCCACGAAGGAATAAGAACAGAAGGGGCTTGAGGCAACATTTACCTAGAAGAAATCAGAACATTGGACTACTAAGGAGAGGAAATTTGGAGGTATATCCGTATGTACCTAGTTATTATTGAATTAGATTGCCTTGTCGAAGATAATAAAAGGGGCATAACAGAGTTGTAAAACCGTTGCTTGTAAAGTGGCCGTATCACTGAATGATAGTTCCTATTCAAACAATCTTCGGAATCACTCAGGAGAATATGAAATGCATCAGCAGCAGATTTCATTAGAGGGATCACTACTTGCTCTTTGCCTTCAATTGGATCACATGACTCTGGAAAATCCCCATTATTGGTGTTCTCAAGTAAGACACCTAAAAAAGTCATTGTGATGTCCTTTATCCCTTCATGACCTCGCATAATCAATCCCTTTCCTATCCAAGCCAGTCCAACAATTGCAGAAATGTGAACTGAGGTATGATTTAAACCAGCAAGGCACTTAGTATTATGTATCTCATTGCCACCACCAAACAAAGAGCATTTTCTGAGAGTATTACTCTGGCAGAAATTCCATATGCTACTTGTTAGTATCACATCTATTGCCTCTTCCACACCATATTCTTGTGACAAATGCCTTTCATTGGTTTTTGAAGGCAATTTGTTAACCAAAGAACCCAATGCCTGAGCCGAAGGAATATGACCTTTTGTAAGGGCCATTATGAATAACTGTAAAACCATCTTTAAATTTTGGACGTGTGTTTGAGGACGGAGTGCAATAACAACTGAAGCATACAGTGAAATGATCCATTCATCTCTACATGAAACTCTGTCAACATGATGATTAAGGTATGAGTCTTCTGAATTGGACAAGGAAGTGGCAAATGGTGAATCTTTCAGAGGAAACAAGGTGCTTGCTGATAGTACCCTAAAGGCTCTATTGACAATCTTTTCCTGACTTTCCTGTGAACAGCGTCGAACTGCTTGTTTCATTGCTGTCATAGCTGCACCAAGAAGTTCCTGAGTACACACACATGTTTTCTTGTTATTTTTCAAACAGGAATTTTCATTAGTCAGGATCAGGAAGTGCTTTATTTAAATTAACTTCCTAAACTTTTACATATGATTATGGAACCAAAAAGGCAATTCTTTATTCAAACACTGAACGGATGTCAATGAGAACCATCAATCATTAGTAAATATGCCAGTCATTCTTACGTAATTTTGAACAGTGAGATTGACCGAACTAGAATTGTCAATCTTGTCCCAAATAATAGCTGCCAAATTCCAAGCAACTTCCTCAGAACCTCCATTCATTTCAAACCTGGAACACAAACAAGCATTTGAGACAAATATCTGCCAATGAGATCAACACATAGTTGCAGTCTGACAAGATAAATGAGTGAGTGAGTATTTCTGAACAAAGGTATCAGGCGATTTTAACAGATTTTTCCACTTAAATGTTTGAATAACCTTAAATATGTCCATTTATGACTACAATGATACAATCAGTGAAGTTTAGCAAGCTAAGCATAGGACCCAGCTATAGTAGCATTCGACTTGGAACTGCTACTGTAATTATATTCAGGAGTCATGACCACCATTGTAAGCTTGTGTTTCTATCTGCAGGGAAATAATTGTTGGTAGCTTAAACTTAAAATATCAGAATGTGGCAATATACAAGAAAACAGCTTCTTAATCCCACTTCCAATATTTCCTCCTGCAGGAGATTTAGCCTAGTAAACAAAATAAACTACGAACTTAAATCAAAGTCAGTGAGAAAATGAAATAGGATGCATTTATCAATCATAACAAATGATTAATCTTAACGACCAGCATACATTTAACATAATAACAACTAAAAAAGCTGAAGTTGTAAGTAATATCCCATTCCTAAGCCAAGAAAATTAGAAAGATTCAAAGAGCAAAATCTGGTGTGCTTAAAAATAAAAAGATAAAGGAAAAAGTCTCATCCTTCTTTGCTTTCAAAAGAGCTCCTAACTCATTATGGAAGGTCACCACTATCTCAACCACCAGCAATTAGTTGTGAATTCAAGAGTCAAGTTCCCCAACATGGTCTTGGATGTGCTGATCATGAAATTAAATTCAGCAACCACAATATAAATCCAATTGGTAAGGAAATCAAACATAACATGAAGAGATAGGTTCATTATCTTAACTTATCAAATCATTAAAATATAGTCAAGTGAAATGTATAGCTTCATCTAGAATGCTGTTTAATGAAAACAAAATTTTGCAAGACAGCAGAAACCAAGTAATTAAGAGATTGGAGGCAATTCAATTTAGAGACATACCATGGGAGTACCCTAGCACTATAGCACTCCAGAACCTTGATTACCAATTCCACTGACTCAAAATTACCATCAACCTGTATGAAGGCAAGATGAATACTTTGTAATCCACAACGACTAAGTAAAACTGTTACTATGTCCAATTTAATGGCACTACAAGTATAGAAAAAACAGAACAAAAAGTAGCACAATGCACTGCAGCATCCATATTAAAGAGAATTTCCTTAAAACACCTCAATCACAAAAAGATACTACCAAAGGAATCGAGCCAATTACATACATAAGCCTGAGTGAATTTGGCAGATATAGCCTTTTCCATCCCTTGGACAATTCTCAGCATATTGCTAATTCCTGTCATTCCAGTTTCACAAATTGCTTGCATTTTGAGAGATAGCGGCATAGCAGGCTCATCAGAAGATATCCAAGACACAAACTTGTCTACAACAATCCTAGCAAAAGTTGCTGCCTTTTCAGACTCTTGATACCCTTCAATATATAAGCCAATCTCCACTAATGCCTTTAATTCCAGCCCCCATGAGAATTTCTTGTCGAAGTTAGAAGTGATGGCTGACACCAACTTCAACAGAATGTTCTCAAACAGCAACAATGAGACAGGAGCGAAGCTCCTAGGAAATGTAGCCAAAAGCTGCAAACCCTTTACTGCAATTCGAACATTAAAAAGAAAGAGAAATTGAGATTAACTACAAGACACCATTTAATGATAAAACTAGCTAATAGTGACTGAAATAATTCTTGTAACAGTACAGGACAACTTATGCAATTGGTAGTTATCAAAAAGCAAAAATCTACTGCATTCAGCATTCTAATTGAAACTTTTCTAATTTGGTAAGAATAAATGTCAGCCCATAAAACCCACAATCCCCCCACCCCCCTTTTTCCTGAAACAATAAAGATTTCTTTGTTAGGAAAGAAAATGTTACTCAGTTGAAAACACAGACACTGCTCAAAAGTACAACAATTGTCTTCCTTTTCTTTTGCATTCAACTTTATCCTTCTTGTTTACACATCCAAGAGTAGGTAGAAAACCATGTACTAAAGATGGTAATAAACCAAGATTAGCTAGAAAACCATGTACAAATGATGGTAATGAACTAGAGGTCAACAACTCTTCCATTATCTCAATAAGTAGGATTTGATGATGTAGACAAGTCAAATTAGAAGTCTCCAATCAAAGATTTGGAATTTGATCCTAGTAGTCTAAAAAGGGGTTAATTGAGTTTGCAGCAAAAGTTAACTCTTTCAATGTGGATTAAGCATTTTGTTAAGGTTCCATAATAGATCCCCCTGAATAACTGCAGCTTGCATCAACAGCTGTAACCAAAATGGAGATTTATGAAGTTTAAACAATCTGAATCTTCGAATTTCACAGCAAATGATTAACATGGTTATATATATATATATATATATATTATCCTTCAAACCCAGTCATAAGAATCCATTTAGGGTTGTCAGCAGCCAGGCTGACGTCCCTGGATGCACACAAGTGCAAGAAAAACATTTGTTTAGGCCTTGTGCTCCAAATGGGTTGGACTTCAAACCTCCTCTCATGCTTAACTTCTTGCTAAGCTGAGTTCTTGCTGATATCAGTGTATTTAGTTTATCTTGGATAACATTCTCGGACTATGTAATATCGCAAACTAAAAACAAGCACACAGGAACCCTAACACAAGTTTGAAGTTTTTGGACAAATATCTAACACAGCACTATTAACTCTTTTAGCAATCAAATCTCACCTCCAGTATAAGCGAAAGAGCTTTGAGCATTTCCAGAAACAGCTTCTAAGTTAGAAAAGAAGATGTTGATTAATGATCTGCAAAAGCCATGCAGCATGCAACACCACTTCTCGTGTATAAAATCAGGAAAGGATGTAGATTCTTTGAAACCCAAAACCAAACATCTACATGCATCAAGGAGTTCGACACAAAGGTATAAGGTACCATAATTAAATCTAGAAGAAAGAGCACGATCTTCAGTTGCAAAACTCTCATCAGAATGATTTCCAACTGAACAGCCCAAAGCCTCCATCATTTGGGGAAAGAATTTTTCAAACACTCTATTGCAGGAAGCCATGGAAGATTTGGCAGAGACAGCAAGAAGGCGACCTACTGAATGAAGTTGTTGTCTTAGTTGCAATGGAGTATCATGAATATCCCAAGGCTTAAGAAATGAGCAGATGAAGTTATTGATGTCCTCATCTCCAAGGATCATATCTAAGAGCAAATCACTATTTTGCTGCATAAGCCCCTCCAAAAGGATCAGGGCTTCAACCATAATATCACTCTCCTCAAAAATCATACCACCATCTGACTCTGACTCCACAGACAAAGCAGACTCTGGTGAGGTATACAAAACATCTTTCACCGAAGACCAAAGAGCTCCACCATGTTTGGCCATCCTATCTGATCCATACATCGGAGCACAGTAACCAAGATACTTAAAGGATTCAACCTGTAAGCAATATCAGCCAATGTTATAATTCAGAAATAGAGACTGTCAGTGTAAACGAAAGTAGAAAGGGAACTATATTACATAAAGCAAACCTTTGCTGATGGCAGAGAAGAAGAGAGTTTATCAAGCAGCAATGGAATAGCAAATGGCTCAAAAAGTGGTGTTGCAGCAAATGCCAGCTGGAAGACACAAAAGATAAGCTGTATCAGCTGAAAAGGTTAATTGTTACCCATTAACATGTCTTCCCCTAGATCTCACCAACTCATGAACATTGTCAGCATTGCATTTGGCACAAAGTTTAAGAAAATGCTATGACGGATGATTCATTCCACATTTAACGCATTGATTTTCGACAGGTACACTTTAAAAATACAAAAAGGTTATTATTGGATTAAAAGCTTAAAGAGTTCACCACTCAGAAGGTGACAAAGAATTTGGTTGTACTTTTAGTAAATGGTGTCTTCTCTTCAACTGTTGGGCATTTATTAACATAAATAACTTTCGATTATTAGGAGAACAGTAGCTTTTTTGCTGGATCCTCCATCAAAACATCCAACATGTAATTAATTTCCAGCTAATGTCCGATAAAACACAAACAACCATATATTATACACAGCAATTCCATTTATTAACTGAAAGATACACCAAAAGAAGCATTCCCATTGAGATGTTTCAATTAGCCTGATGGCATGTTTCAAGCAGCTTATGCACTATTCAGCATTCATCAAATTCCAAGAGAAATCTCTCTCAACTCTATGGTTTAAGAGAAGAAAATAAATCCTAGGGAAGATCCATGAAACTAATTGTTTTGTATTATGTGTCAGTATATTCTATGTTACATCAACTATCCAGACAAAAGAAAATCACCCATCAAAACAGAATGTTCTCTTATAAGAGATTCCACAAACATAGTAGTTAAGGCCTAAAAATGCCACACACCAGTAATGCCCTGGAGAGCTCATCCCTGCTGACCCCAATATCTTCACTTTTTGGCTGGACATTATAACCCAAAAAAAGTTAAATGGAAGACAGATTCAGAAAAAGATCAAACACAAGAACAAATATATACACCTATCCAACTACATTATTCTATAGTATTAGTAACATCAGCAACTAGCAAGGAAGTAGTTTCAGAAGAAAACTAACATCTATAAAAAATTTGCTAAAAATAGAGCCAATATATAGCCTTCTCCCATCCTCCAGGTCCTTCTTTAAAAAGTCAGTATCACAATTTTTCATGCTGATGCAAGACTCTTATCATCAGAAAATCCCAAATGTGAGGCCTTTTTTTTTTCTTTTTATCCATGCGGTTATACACAACTAAAAACTCCACAAACATTCAGAAGCTTCAGAGAGAAAAGTAGTATAACAGAATAGCATCTATTACAGAATCTTAGGTTTACAAGTTCGGTTTTGCCGATAATAGGTTCTAAAGGGACACAACCACATTGAATCAACTTGGTGAAAGCTTACCAAGCATCTATATGCACTAATAAGTTTGAAGTTTAAAATCAGGCTTCATGCTTACTGTTAATGGCCTACTCTAGTGTTCTTAAGCTATCCAAATGTGCTTAAAAAGTTATTCTTCGAAAGGTTTAAGAAATTTTAATTGGCATTTCTTCAGAACAATTTTTGAAAAGAAAATTTATTTGTCACAAGACAGATAAGCAAAGCAATGGAAAACACCTCAATGCAACTTAGCACAGGAAAAAGCTAGAATCAGCGTATTTTAAACAACAAGAATGCCCCCAAGTGTTTGATTTTCTGGTATTTTTAATCTTTATGCTTAATCAGTCAGCTCTAAAAATACCACCCATGCAATATCAAGTTCAGAAACTATTTAAAGGACAAAAAAAAGAATAGTCTAGAAAGTTGGTCTAGTATACACTAGATTAAACATAGCAGAAAAATGCAGGTGCAGCCCTAAGTGAGCTTACATGTGTAAAATGAATGGGAAAGTAACGGCCCAAAATTTCAAAAATATCTGCAGCATAACTAGCAAATGGACCAGAGGGATCAGGAAACAACTTTGCAGCAACTTCAACAATATGAAATGCGAGGATCAAGCATTGAGGATCCTTTTCTTCATCAATACCTTCACAGATTGAATAGAAAAGTTCATTGCCCTACAAATGAAGAACAACATATTCAGGCGTGACTCAATAATATAGAAATTCAAATAACAAGGCCAGAGCAGAGGAGCTAACCCATTGCCATGACATAGCAAACAGCCAAACACAACATGAGGAAATAGATAGAAGTGCAAAAGTTTAACTGAAAGCATGTTATTTAGCAATAACAATGTCCGAAATTGAAGTTTGAGCTACCCAAAATCCATATGTACTCATCTCTTAACAAATTAAGCAAGGAACATTATGCACAACCTACAACTAAACACACATGACACGAGGAAAGGTCCAAAATGACACTAGTTGAGAGGTTAGCTGAATAAGACCTACTAAACCTGATCATATAAAGTTTGCAAATTCTAATTCAAGGATAAAAAATTTCAAACCACAAACAGTAATTTAAGTCAGGAATCAAATGATGGATTTTAGGAAGCACTTATTCTACCTCATATATTTGATACCCAAATCCATAAATTATACATGAAGAATATAGAAGTAAGAAAACAAAAATGGAGTAAGATTGATAGAAACTAAATACCAGTGGCTGAACAGCATTAGGGTACCGCTCCAGTAGGCATTCCAGAAGTTCAAAGCAGAGCTGCAAGGAAATACTAATGTTTATCTTTATATCCATAGCTCCAAATATCTGATTAACCTTCCTAATTAACCTTCCTAAAACTAGTCTACTAAATAGCTCATTTTCCAGCATTACACAATTTGTCATATAACATCATTAACATTGGGATCACATTTAATCTTACCTTCCGGTCATGCTGTCCCATGGACTGCACTTGCAGATATTGCATATATGATTTCATCACAGCTTCTGCATCATTTTCAGTTACCACACCAACATCAGTTTTTCTCCTCAACAGTGCCAAACAACCAACAAGTGCACCACGCAAAGCTCTCCAGTCTTCCTGAAAATTATTAAACAATATCTATGTTCCCTTCTGAAATTCTTACACTTACAGAATTTCAAGAAAGTATAATAGGACTCTAAAGCCAGAGAAAACCAACTAAACAACAATTCACCCAAATGTAGACCTACTATTACTGGAAGCTGCAATTTAACATCTATGTATGACAGCAGAAACAACTTCAAAGCGTCCTTACAGTTCAGTCTTTCTTGATCCACTTATGGGATTGGATTTTTTGGAGTTAAACAAAGGAAAAATGGAGAAGCAAGAGAGTTTTGCCGAGATAACTAGTAAACATTGTACAACTGTGAAAGTAGCAGAAGCATCACCAACGGACCACATGTTAACTCTAACTGGACAATTCCAAGAGCATCAAAATTAACATTTATCAGTGTGCAAACACCAGCATCCTTAAATTACTCAAAAAACTTGAACTTTGATAAGAGTAAAAACCAAAACATGTATCGCAGGTAATGTCTTAAGCTGCTACAGAGAGAACAGGATTACGGTCAGAAGAAAATCAGTTCATTTTCTTTTGTGCATTTCTGTTGCAGTAGGCTCTTACCAGTCTTTCTGTAAGGAATCCTATCAAGGAATGTATCGCAGCATCACTTAAAGGCTTCAACTCTAATTGAGTCAATAGTTCCCCGAGGAGAAGTATGCCTGCCAAAAAGTGGACACATTAAATAGCCAATGCTTATTAGAACGTTCCATAGCTCGTCATTAATCAGTATGAGATAGTCCAATTTTTGGAATGGTTCATGCGAATCTCTGAAATACATTCTTAAGAAAGGCCAACTCTGAAGAATTGTAAGGGGGAAAAAGAAAAGTACCTCTTGAGCGAATGATGCTATCCGTAGTAGTCAAATACAAGTCCAATTCTCTAACCTACAATATTATACAATTAGGAAATAAACAATCACATGACACTCCACATAGCCAATCCTGCGTTGATAAAAATTCCAACTTTTTCTGCTAGAACTTACTAAAGCTTCTAGGGTTAATAAGTCATTCCTCAAAAGAATAGCAAGTGCATCCACACTGGCAGCCTGCAACCAATGAAAGTTCAAATTCAGCACGAATATCCTAAAAAAAAATGGTAATCTATTTGTGCTAAGACATTGTTTTGCTAATTCATTGTTGGGGCTAGATAAAAACGGCGAAAAGATTGAATTCATGGTGCAACAGTTCTTGTTGATCATTAAGAAGGAAAAAAATGACAAGAAAAGAAAAAGAAAAGAGCTTTTGGTAGTAGTAAGTGGACCTGTTGGGAGGGAGAGCTGGACGAGTCGACGTACGACTCGATATGCTTAACGTACTCCGTCGGCTTAGCCATTGTTGTAGAGAGAGAGAACACCAGAAGAGGTTGCGGTGTTTTGCAGCTGTGTTTTTGGGGTTTTATATGTTAGTTACCCCATGGCCAAGGGTTTTGTAATAAGTTTCTAGTTATTTTGCGGAAGATTGAAGAACCCAATGAAACGACGCCGTAGCTCTATACTATAACTTTGTCAATTCAAGTGTGTGTGTGTGTGTCTGTGTTTTTTTTTTTTTTTTTTTTTCCTTTTAATCGTTCAAGTAATACAGCCCTAAAAAATAATTTAGGGTAATGAAAAACTATGGCCTCTGGCGGACCCAAATAGCTAGTTGTTCCCGAACTGGCAAGATGAAATTCACTGCATTACTAATTCAACTGCGTTTGACGTTGTAATTAATGATTATTCACATGATCTATCATATTTTATTTCAGTATGTACTGATTGCACTAAAACACAGGATAAGAGATTTCAGTTAATTTCCGTAGACCTATGTAACGTACACGCACGCTCTTGGTATATGAGAATGAGCAAGCGCCAACGGCCCCATTTTGCTGCTCTTGGTTGCCAAGGAAGAGGACGTAGTTTTACTCAATACTGTACTCGGAAGTATTTTAGCTTTAGAGCTCCAAAAAAAAAAAAAAAGTAGTATTTTAGCTTTTAATGTTCTTAGTACGGGAAAACACATTCTAAATCCCATGCCTCACCAAAAGAAACAGAATACATGCTTGATACAAAGGTCAAAACTTTACCCATTGTCATGTACAGATGTTGTACAAAACAGAGAGAACAAATGTCAAAAAGCCTTCTTTCAACCAACTTTCGCGATCCCCCCCAATCAAAGGGAATACCAGTTAAAAGGAGTATACTTCATATGGGCACTTCACAGACACCTGCATCAGAATATCTGAATTTTTACACTTTACAGACCTTGAAAATGCTTTTCTTCCCGTCTTAAAACTATTCCCGCAGCGATTTTCTCAATTCAAGAAACCTCGTCTAATCTGTCAAGGAATCCTTTCTGAGCACTCTGCTGCACAACAGAAACATCAAAATCAATCCCATCAATGGATGCTGCTTCAAACTTTTCCCAAAGTTCTTTCTTCAAAGTGTTTTCTCCGGGGTGCTTTCCAATTTGAATGCTGCTTTCAGGCCCCCTCAGGATAGGAGTACTTTCAACAATTTTGAAGCTCCTATAGAGTCCTGTCAGAAGAATTGCAGAATGAGAAATCTTCATATGAGACGATCTCTTTAATCAAGTCAATTAAATAACAGCAAAAACAATCAACCTTGCTTGCAAGTTTCATCAGCCAATGACTGACCACCTTGAAGATCAACTTCAGTCACTGACAATAGGTTTGCTCCGTGATCAAGGACAGAACCTGCTTCATCAGATAGCGACAACTTGTCATCTGGTGGCTCCATTAAGACACAAGTTTTAGGAGGCGATATCATCCTATAAGGTGATTCTTCAACCACCTTACTTCTGCTGCCATAGTTGTTACTAAGTTTTATTCCTGGGTGTTCAGTATACTGAAAAGACATTTTTTCTGAACTTCGACACAAAGATGATTCAGAATCTTGAGATCCCTCAGAAATCTTAACTCTGGTTGGGTAGGGCGTTGATTGATAGACTCCACGAGTAACATTTTGCCGAAACTCAGGAACAGGTTCAAGTAACACACAGGACTTGGGAGGGGATAATTTCAAGTAAGGGGTCATGAGAAGCATGGACCCTTCCCTTCCCATCAAATTTTCAGGAGAAGAACATCTTCGTTTGAGAATATCATCAGAAACTTTCCTTGGAGTTTGCTTTACCACAGTACCCTCAAGCAAATCATCATTTTTCTCTCCAACTGCATCAAAAATAACTGGGGCTTGTACCATTGTGCTTGACGTAGTGTTTTCCAAGACTGATTTGGGTTCTTCCTGATATTTCACTGAAAATGCTTTTGGTCTTGGCAGAGGGGTGACTAAAAATAGTTGTCTTCCGCCCTCCGTAGTGCAGCCAGCACGCCAGGAGACTAGGGGGGATGGGGAGACTAGTGAATCCAACTTGGTTGGTCGAGGGCTCTCAACAACATGGCTCGTATCCTTCTTGACATAGGCAACATTCCTACTGGTGGAAGGCTCTTCCAACTGATTAACAGGCTCTGTGGAGAGTACTTTTTGGAATCTGGGAATCCATGGCTGCAGGTTTAAAGATTAGAAAGACATAAAATTTAACAAATGAAAAGTACAAAGGTCAAAAAATTTTCACACTATTAGACAACGAAGTTTGAGATCAACCTGCAAAGAAGTTTGCATTTCAGACAAAACGTTGGCAAACAATTCAATTTCCTTCATCCTTTGCTTGCTTGGAAATTTCTGTGCTTGGGCTACAAGTCCATCAATCTGTACACAAGTAAGTGTTCAAAACCATGATAAACTGAGGTACATTACTAAGAAATTGCCCCGTGAACAAGACTTCCTCCGAGACACCAAGAAGAAGAGAGGACAGAACAGTCAAGTAGTATAGCAAGGTTACTACAACATCAATGGGAAAATGTCCTTCAAAGCATTTCCTCATTTGTATGTCCAATTGCATTGTGGACAATGCTGCTTTTACACTTTCCCAATAGAATGAACTACCAAGATTTGAGATCTTTATGCTTTCGAAATTCTTCACCATACATCCAAAAGCAGAAGACAACGAAACAAACTCAGGCATCAATACAAAGAAGCAGTAAACGAGCACTTTCAGATATTAAGAAACATCCAATTCCACCACAAAGGAAGAAAAAATGCCTGAAAGATTTATACTCACAAAATTTTAGCTTTTTTTTCGCATTTTCACCTTACCACCGACTCTAACCATAGAAATAACGAAGGTTTTCAAGAAATAGTAGTGTACTAGTATATCTGTTCCACGCTAATCCAGTAACAAAAAATTTCCACATAGGTTTCCTAACTATATTATCTAGGAATCTGAAACAAAGGTGATTGAAGTCTTACTAGGAATTATAATATGAATGGAAAAAGTAATATAAAAAATATCATGGAAATATTCAAAGAAATTCAGTGAAGTACAGCCAGAAACCACCACCAGGGAGGGTGTGGGGAGAGGGGGGGGGGTTCATTATTCTAATGAGGCTATCAAAAGAATTTGAAAACCTAGGTTAGCCGACCAAATTATTCAAGCAAACTTCTAATGTCGAGAAAAGTAACCAATCAATTACTACGAACAAAAATGGAAATTTTTTTTAATAAAATAATTCCGCAGATTGGAGTTATTACTAACGATATACTAGTTAATTACCTGATGAATGATGGATGAGATGTCGGAATGGATGAGAAGGAGTCGGTCAAGGGCCCCGTCATGGTCTCCGACTTGTCTGAGTTGATTCCCTTCTTCATCTTCCTGGTATTTGACGGGGAGTTTCGTCGCAATTGAAGTAGAGAAGGTTTTGACAGCGTTAGAGACATCTCGCAGCGGCTTCCGAGCAGTTGATTTCGGTCTCGGCTTCGATTTTGTGGTCAGGCCGCTATTGTTCTTCGGCATTCTCGTCTCGTCTCTCTCTCTCTCTCTCTCTCTCGGTGTTTTCTGCCTCTTAACGGTCACTGCTGCTGCCTCTCTTCCTCTGAATTTGAATTTTCTCACCAGAGCGTGGCACGTAATATTTTTTATTTTTCATATAGCCTCGAATTTAAAAAATATATATATATATATAGCCTCGAATTTCGAATTATCAACTTTCTAGAGCACAAAGAAAAATAATTTTGACTTCTTTCCTTTCTTTTTTAATACCCCTGCAATAAGGGTGTTTTTGGGTGGGAAGAAAAAATAATTCTAATAAACCATGGGATTTAATAGCCTGCATAATGGAGAGAAAAAAGAGGCCTCTTTTCATATTTTTCCTTTTTTGTACTGTACTCTCGCGTGCTTTTTCTTTAAAATGAGATAAGTATACTTAGTTCTTTCTCATCTTTTATTTTGATATTCTCATCATAATGTACTTCTTTATAAATTACACGTGATTAACAACTTAAAAACATCCTAAACATGACCATTTTTAAACTATTATTAAGGCAAAAAAGAACACGAACTCAGAATAAATTAATTTATTATTATGGTCCAAACTATCAAGAGTACAATTCCTTTGCTTGTCTATGTGTATCTTTTTCTTCTTTTTTTTTTTTTTTTCTCTTTTGACACTTTGTTCGCCAACTAAGGACGTCAAAAGGATTCCAATTT